TCTCCCCTCTCCACCTCCCCCCCTCCTTCCCCTCCATCTGGAGCTTTCTGGAGCTGAGACGGGGTTCTGACTGACTGGAACTTTGTCGTCTGTCCCCCTCCACCAGCCCACCTCCAATTTGAACGCGCTAAGGAGCTTCAACGAGGGCCTTTCAGTCCCCTGGGCCATGCCCCACCTGGCTGCAGGGAGGGAGCTTGAACTAGCCTCAGTCGTGCATGAGCTCGGTCATCTCGGTCGTGGCGCGTCCTCGGAAGCTGTTCTAGCAGACCCCTGGGCTTCACACAGATTCGCGTTCAGCCACCAACTCCTGGGAACCCTGTGCATCTTTCTAGACCTTTCTCCGCATAGCCCCCTACTTTCAGATACTGTGCCCTGCAAATTCCAGCCACCTTGGGCTCCCCTCTCTCTAACCTTTGTCCCCTTGGAGAGGAGGCTGGACCCTGGGTTCCCCTCACTGTCGCCGCTGGACAGAAAGCCTGGCCAGGGGGGGCTCACCTCGCTGGTTGCCTTTTCCCAGGGATCACAGTCTTGTGCTCCCTGCTGTCCAATGTCTGAAATTACATTTCAAGTATTTTGGACAACTTTCTGGTTATGACAGAGGAAGGATACCTCTGTTAAATACTCTCTCGTGGCCTGATGCCAAGTTCTTCCCATGGGTATTTTCTGGTCAGACGGAATCATAAGAGAAGAGTCTCCATTGCTAAGCGCAGCGCGGGGCGAGGGTTCGGCAGGCTCGCTGTGGAAAGGGCAGCTTCCTGGGGGGGGCTCCCCGTCACACTCGCTCAGCGCCCCCCCACTCAGGCTCCTCTCAGAGGTCAGCCCAGGCCTCTTGCTCGTTTCTCCCTAGTACTAGCTGAGTTAACCTGAGGATGAGCAAGAAAATAATATCAGAAAATACCAACTGCTTTAAAGCAGACAAGTCTCTCCCTAGCCCGTTTGCTCAGTGGTTAAAGCGTCAGCCCATGGACTGAAGGGCCCGGTGTTGGGGTTCAGTTCCAGCCAAGGGCACATACCTTGGTTGCAGGCTCGATCCCCAGCCCTGGTTGGGGCTCGTGCGGGAGGCAACCAATTGATGTGTCTCTCTCACATCAATGTTTCTCTCTCCCTCCTCCTCTCTGAAAAGCAATGGAAAAATATCCTCAGGTGAGAATTAAAAAAAAAAATCATATGAGTCTCCAAGACAGAAATCTTACACCCTTCAACAACTACTTGACTCGTGGTCCCGAAGAGCTGGTAAAAATGCCCTGACTCCCTGCCTGGCCCACTTCCCTCTCAGCCCCTCCTATGTCCACACTACGGGTCTTATTTCCCATCTTATGTTCTCCTCAAGTAGAAAAGAGTGTGCTGACTCTGCCCTCCTCTGGGGCTCCGATCATTGATTGAGAACATGTTCTGGGTCTGAGGGATTAGACCTCAGGTCAGTTTTAATGGACACACTGACTCACTTTTCTACCCTGTGGAAACCCATACCCTGTCCCCACAGGGCAATAGTTTTGACAAAATTCTTGCCCTTCTTTCATTTATCTGGTCATTTAATAAGTATTATTGAGCGTCTATTCTGTGTAAGGCCCATACTTGGTATAGGAACTACAGTGGCGGACCAGCCTGACTTGGTCCCTGCCCTCATGGAGCTCTTATCTTCTTCACAGGGTTTCAGTACAACATTAGCCACACAAGAGCAATAATCTACAGCAACAGGAAATATACAGGTGAAGGGGACAGTGGACAGTGGCTGCTTGCTAACCCACTCATGCACAACACAAATAACTCAGTTGTTTAAAAAATTTTTAAACACCATCTTTCTCGCTGAGTTAACAGTAGCACAGGTGGCTCTGGTTTTACAAATAATCAACAGAGGAAATGATCAAACACTAAAAATATAAGCCTATTCATTCAAAAGGGCAGTAGTAAGCTCATGTGAAAACAATAGCTAACATCCCCTGAGCATTTACTGTGTGACAGGCTCCCAGGCTTTACAAGGCTGAACTCCCTGAATCTTTATACCACTGGTTCTGTTCTAATCATCCCAGTTCCGTGGGGGTGGAAGGGACACTTGGGCACCGAGAAGATCACGCAGTAAATGGAGAAATTAGGACTTGAATTCAAGAAATTTTAAACACTACTCTATGTAACACAAGCAGTGATAATACAAGAATTCTCAAAGGTTAACTCTAAGGACGGTGGAAATGGAGATCATGAATCAATTGTGGTAGAAGACAAAATATTTGAGCCCTTGAGTCCTGTTAATGTGCTTGTGGACATTAACAGCTCTGCAGTCAGTTCCCGACACTCAATGCATCGCCTAGAGAGAACCCACAGTGCGCTCTCACACTAGGACCAAGCCACACAGAGCAATCACAGGCTTCTCGGGTCCCCCCAGGACACTCTCGCTAACGAGCCTGGAGACGGCTCCTTCCTGGCCAGTCCTGGAAGATCTCAGCTTTTTTTTTTTCACAGCATTTAAAGGGGTCAGGCAAAGGTCAAGTTATGCAGCTTCTAGAATCTGTTCATCTGCTACATCATAAAAGGATCCACCCACGATCCAAAATATTTTGGGTTTCCTTTTTTCTTTTCCCATATTCCTCAATACCTTTGGTCTTTCTGAAGTTATTCCTAAAATCTTCTCTCTTAGCAGAAGAAAATTGCAACACAAATCATTTTGAGTATAATTCTTCCCTCTCTAAAACCATTGGACATATTTATTCTTGAATCACAAGTTTGATTGAGGAGAACGGTGTTTGACATTCAGAGCTGTATAACTTTATGCAACGAAGAATGTGAAGCAGGCCCCACCACAACACTAATACACTAATCATAGCAAATGGGGTAACATTTCCTGAATCATCAATAAGAGCCATTTATTATGTATGCTGAACTTATTTCCTAAGTTATCTAGTTATAACCAGACTAATATTTTAGTCCTTCCATGTGCCTCTGAGACATAGTGATACTTGAACAAAGAGAGCCAGAAAGTTAAGAAACATAAAAGATTATGTTTTGAGACCCTTCTTGGCAGTTTAGCGCTGGGCAGCAGAAGGCAAAGGGCAGGTGTGGCATCTCTGCATTTACACAGGGAGGGCTGTGCCCGAGGGAGTGGGTTCAGGCTGGGATACGAGGTTGAATGATAGGGAAAGAGACCAAAT